TTCTGATTCAATGATGATGGCAAAAAGCAACATAAATTTGATCTAGTAAGAAGAGAGATAGTGCAAAAGAATAATGGTTCTTTTTCGCTTTAGTACACTTTCCTTCTTTTCCTTTTCACTCTCATTTTTCTTTTCCTCATGTCGGGACTGTACCACATATAGGGCAAGCCATAAAAACCTATTCACCCCCCCGTATATGATGCCTATAATCACAAGGCAATTTGTGAACTTCATGAACACCATTAAATCTTCTCAAGATTACTACTAATATTTATTTCTACGTATATATAATGATAAATTAGTAGTACTCATGATGAAGGAAGTCTATAATGATATTATATAGAATGTTATCTACTAGAATATATGGAAACTTAGATGGTTTCCCTCCATTTCCTGTGTGCAATATATGATAAATATATATTGCTAAATCTTGCGTTATATATAGTGTGTGTTGTGTGCGTGCGCGCACGCACCATGGATATAGAATATTGAAGGATGGAAAGGCTATAACATTAATTAATTGGTTTATTTTAAACAAAGGGCCTATATGAATGCCTACTTGTACCAGAATCAAAAGCTTTAATTTGCCACTGGAAATGGTCTTTTAATTCCAGTGTTTGACAAGACAAGAGGCACATGATGGGGAGAGAGAGAGAGAGAGAGAGAGATGAAACAATATTGCAATAATGGAGCTTAAAAGAGTTTCTTGCTTGCTCCCACTACTCCACACTCCTTTTATCTCAAAATTAAAACTAAAGCCCCACCATTTTTTTAAAAAGCGTTCAGGGCTTCAACAGAATATGCATGGATCTCCCTTCTTTCAACTCTTCAATAGTTTTTCTAACCAAGCTTTTTACCCCCTCCGTCACCCGCTCAATCATACCTTTTCCCTTCTTGCAAAGTTTCCAAATACTAAATTCTCAAATTTTCTTTTGCACTTTATTATCCTCAAGAACAACTTTGCTTTCCACCCAGAAAAAAGAAAGCCCATGTAATCAGGTCCAGCCATTGATTGATGGTGGATGACAGATGGCAGGTTGTACACCAACCCCTAAGAAATCCCTTGTTTCCCCTCCACCTGCTGCAACTTGATCTTGATCATGAGTACTCAGCGTGTGTCGGCGTTTTGCTGCAGGGTACATCTGCAGCTGGTTCCATGTTGAAATATCATCGTTGTTTGTTGAGTTCTGATCCAAATGATGATCTGTAGGGTTTGAACCATACATTAATCCACAGTGCTTATTACTCTTTTGTCCCTGACTGTTACTGCACTTTAATCCAAAACTCCCTAGAAATATTGGGTCAGTCGATGTTGCACCCATCTGGGCAGCTTTCTGCAACAAAGCTGTGGCTGACATACTATGTGTGTGATGGGATATTGACTGGTGTTGATTGGTGTACAGAGATGGAACATTCACTGTTTGACTTCCTGTCCCTTCCTTATTACTATTAACACTGCTTAAAGGCAGTGAAGTCGTGCTGCTTGTTAGCTCTTCATGGGTGGCAGTTGAAGGATTAATTAGCTTGTTTCCAAAAACCCAATTTAGTTGATAATCAGACGGTGGAGGATTGGAGCAGGGAACTAGTGGGTCCACACCAGTTCCAAATATTGACCCTGAGCTTGCCGAACCAATTCGATTGATTTCTTGAACATTATTGGTTATTGTTTCGAGGGCTTGGGATCCTTGGCTCATCCACAAGGACAGTCCGTGTCTTGTTTGCTCCATCGAATCGACATTGCCTGAGATTGGCTTGAAGATAGTGGAGAAATGCTGTGCCATACCAGGCACTAGTTGTGCCCCGGCCATAAGATGGTAATTCAGATTGCATGTGGCTAAGCTGTTTAGGTGAGTTGCTGCATTTACTCTTGCGGTTTATTCAGCCAAGGCGTCACAGAAGGCCCGGTGTGTGATGAAACTGTCTCGCCTGCTCACAGATACACGTACATATATACGAAGTATAAGTACACTTGATACTCAGCATAGCCAGTACCCAAATAAAGTTAAGCTAAATTAACACAAATAAATTCCAAGAAAAAGAAAAATCTTATCCTATGTGTTTTTCTAACAATATACATATATTATATATTGTCTTTATTACCATATGAACTTTTAATTGCTTTAAACAGATAGAGAGCGATGATGAAATATATTGCCTGTCATGCAGACAAATATGTATCACCACCACAAAAATCACTTTCAGGTTTCTTTTTAATTTTTTCCTTTCTTTTTTTTTTCTTTTTCCCCTTTGATTTTCTTGTTTGAGTTGATGAATTTGTGCTGTAGCATGAAGAAAGTCATAGTCTATCACACAGACAAAGTTTCTTCAACCACAAAAATCACTTTCATGTCTTATTCACTCACTACCCACCTTAATTTCCTCCAAAGATAAATGCTTAACTAATATTTAAAAACGGAAGATGAACCGGTTATATCTATGGCAAAGATATTATTATTATTATTACCTCGAAAATAGAGTACCGCAGTCACATTTGTATTCTCTAGTACCACATGTCTTGGAGTGTGCTTTCCAGTCCGATTGCACAGCATAGCGCTTCGAGCACTTTTCGCACTTCCACTTCTTCTCGCCGTGCTTCCTGCAAAAATGTTTTTTGATTCCAGTAAGGTCGCTGAGAGCCCTTGAAGGATGGTGATGCACGCAGGTTTTTT